TAGTCAGCTGGTGCATGGTTTGGTGTTTACGAATAGTAACGAATAATTCTTCATTTTTGTGGTTTATGCCTCAAACAATTTGGAGGAAAGGAGAACTCTCTAGAATGATATTTCTGAAATTGTCAGCTCTATTTCTTTACCTTGGATCATTCTCAGTGATTTTAACTGCTGTAGGTTTAGCCATAAAAAAGCTTGCAGCTCTGTGCTTCAGGACATTAAGCTCTTAGATTTTCAAAATCTCATTTATAACATTGGGGCTCATGAGCTTTCTTCTGTGGGGCACTTCTTTACTTGGTTTAATCAGAGAATCGATAACCCCATTCATATCAAGTTACATAGGATGTTGGTTAATGATGCTTGTCTGGGTAGATATCCTAACTCTTTTTATACTGTGGATGACCCTTATATTTCGGATCACTCTCCCATTGTGGTGCAGCAGGGGGTGGTGTTAATATTAATCTGAAACATCGATTTCAGTTCAAAAACTATTGGGTGTCCAAACTGGAATTTTGGGATGAGCTCATATCCACTTTCTCTCAAAAGTTTCACAGCAGCCCTATCCACACTTTTTATCATAAGCTCAAGTCCTTGAAGCTTAAGATTAAAGCTAAAAGCTGGGCCTCCTCCACGTCTCTAAATAGAGAAATATCTGAACTTAACCTCAATCAAAACACCATTATTTCCCAACTCCAAGCCTCTCCCCTTGATCCTGATCTCAACCTGGCTTTAAAGATTACCAACCACAAACTTGCTGATAGAAATGCTGATTGGGCTGATTGGACTATCCAACGTGCTAAAGCTAAATGGATGTCCTGTGGGGAGGATGATCTCAAATTTCTTTATTCCAGAATCAATGCGAGGCATAACTCTAACCTTATTAAAGACATTTCCACTGCCAATGGTATTTTCAACAACCACAATGATATTTCCCATGCTATTATCCATCATTTTAAAAAGCTTTTCAACACCCCTCCTCCACCTTCTAACATTGGCCGTAATGCTCCCATTCTCCACAAACTTCCCCCTACCCTTGTGCCTCAATTGGTTGCCCCTATTTCTGTGGATGAGATTAAGATTGTCTTTTTATCCTCCCCTGATCATTCTGCCCCGGGCCCTGATGACTATACATTTGAATTCTATAAGTCTTCCTGGAATATCATTGGCAGGAAACTATGTGAAGCCATTTGGACCTTCTTTTCTACGGGGTATCTTCCTACGCAAGCCGAGGCTACGACCATTGCGCTTATTCCTAAGAAGCCTCATGCCAGCAACATTTCTGACTATAGGCCAATCTCTCTTTGTAACACGTTCTATAAGATTATAGCCAAAATTCTTGCCAACAGATTGAGAGAGGTTATGCCTTACATCATCCACCCTAGCCAAGCTGGTTTTATTCATGAAAGGATAATTTCTGATAATATCTTGTTAGCTTCGGACATTCTCTTGGATTTTAATGCTAAGGATAAACATAAGATGTTTTGTGCTAAGTATGATATACACAAAGCATTTGACACTATCTCAAGGGACTTTCTTATTAATCGTATGATTGCTAAGGGCTTCCCCCCTGTCTTTGTTTCTTGGCCCCCCCCCCCTCTTTGTTTCTTGGATCAAAGGTTGTATTTATGATATTCATTTCTCAGTTTCTATTAGTGGTGCTCTTGAACTTCTTCTGGATTGAGGCAAGGATGCCCACTGTCTCCTTACCTCTTCTGCCTTGCTATGGATAATCTTTCGGATATTTTTGAGGAGGCTTCTATTAACAACTTTTTCCATGGCACTGAATCTGGTAATGTCTCCATTACTCATCTCCTTTATGCTGATGATTTGCTAGTCTTTGGCAGGGCTACTGTTCAAAATGCCCTCTCTCTTAATAGCATTCTTGAGGACTTTGCTGCTATCTCCGGTCTACATGTTAACTCTACCAAGAGCACTCTTATTATTTCTAATAATGTGCATAATGAGGAGGCTATTTATGATACTTTGAACATCCCTTTAGTCCATTCTTCTTTCAAATATTTGGGCATCCCCATTTTTTGTAAGAGACTTAAGAAGTCTGATTTTCAGCCCCTAATCCAAAAAATTCAAGTCTCTTTAGATGGCTAGAAAGCAAAAAACTTATCCTTGGCTGATAGATTTCAATACCTTAAATACACTATTTTCAATATTTTGGCGTATTGGATTAGAAGTACCATCATTCCTAAAGGATGTCACAAGGTGATCAACAGCATTTGTTCTAAATTTCTGTATTACAGAGACATTCATAAGAAGAAGCTTCATGTCATTTCTTGGAAGAATACTTGCTTGCCTAAATATTGTGGTGGATTGGGTATCCCGACCATTGACTCGCTGTATTACGCCTTTGGTTGCTCTTTAATTTGGAGGTTTTAAAATACTAAATGCTATCTTTTTAATTGGTGGAAGGCTATGTATTTATCTTTATGGAATACTGGTAACAAGAAGATGGGGATTTTCTAGAAATTCCTCTGTGGGGTTGCTCCTAAACTGCCGGACTCTTTTCATTTTAGCCTTAATGATAATTCTTCTCTTTCCTTCTTTTGAGAACCTTGGTGTTTTGGTTCCTCTATAGCTGACAGACTTAAGTTGGAAAACTTGGATCATCTGATTTACCCCCATAATTTATCTATTAACTCTGTTTTGGTGAATGGGAATTGGTCTCTTCCTCAAACATTACCGCCTCACATTGCTGATATTATTAAATCTGTGCCTATTTCCGGTATTGTGGGTGACTGTCACTGGACCAATAAATCAAAGCCTGTTTTTAAAACCTTCTACAGTTGTTTCTTCTTAGATACTCAGGTGGTTCCTTGGCATAAAATGGTTTGGCATAAGCGTTATGCCTTATGTTTCTCACTTTGTACCTGGATGGCTTTTAAGAAAGGTCTTAAAACTGCTGATAATTTGATTCTTAGGGGCTGACTGTTAATCCCCTATGCGTTTTTTGCAACTGCTTTGAGGAGAATCATTCACATCTGTTTTTTGAATGCGATTTTTCATTCAATTTGCTGCTTAAGATTTTTCCCTCCATGAGCTGTATGCTTTTAAGGCCGAATCTCGCTCAAGTGTTTAACTGTATTAATGATTGGGGCTTAGACAAGAGCAGTAAAAACCGTTGCTTTCTGTTACTTTGTGCTGAAGTTTACTTTCTTTGGAAACCCCAGAACGACAGGCTGTTTGGCAGTTCCTTTGACTGTCTATCTACTATTTCTGTCAAGATTAAAAGGGTAGTTCTTCAAAAAACTGTTAAATGGACATAATTCTGCTTTGGTTTTCTGCTCTGCTCACTGTTCTGTTTCGGTGGAGGCTGGACTGGTTTTTGGCCTTGCTGCTTCTTGGGCAAGTCCTGGATGGTCCTCTCGGGCAACCAGGTCTTGCTATTTTGAAGGACGATGATGTACGCAATCTATTTAGCCATCCCCTTGGACGGTCACTTGGCAACCAGGGGATTCACACATCCTTTTGGATGATTTTTGCTGCCTGGAAGATCGAATTGAGCATTGCTATTCTCAGTCCTTCCAATTTTGTCTTATTTTCTCTCTGTTTTATATTTCCTTTTCTTAAGCAGCTGTTTTTGTGCTGATAGGGTTTTGAGGTCTGCCGCCAGCTTGTGGTGTCTGCAGATCTTCTTTTTCTGTAATTTCTTCATTCATTAATGAATTGGGCTTAGGCCCCAAATATTCCAAAAAAAAAAAAAATAAAGAAATTCCCAACTTCACCCGTGTGATCTCCCCTGAGTAAAAAAACTTATAAAGAAAGTTGAAGTGGAAAGAGCATTGCATCTTCCATCCTATACAACACCATATGAGTATAGCAGAGTTATTTTGATCTGAACGGAACTTTTAAATATATTCCTCCAATAATTGAAATAGCAAACCTATTTTTTCAATTTTAAGCATTATGGTGCATAATACCGAAAATAAAGCTAAATATCCCAATTCTAATAATATTAAGATTTTGCTTGGAATAGCTTTCTTCTATTGTGAAACTAATAAACCCTTTTGAAATTATTTTAATCAGTGAAATTTGATGAGGTTATTAATGTAAAATTTTCAATTTATTCAGTTTTCTTATTAACTTGTTTTGATTTCTAATATTAAAACAATGACATGAATTCCTCATAATGGACTTTAAAATGCTTTGCCATATTTCAAATAGATTTATGAAATTATTTTATAGTTATAATTTTTATTTTATATTAAATTGTTCATTTCAAAATTATTGATAAAAAATGCAAGCATTTGAAATGTATAGCAAGATTAACAGTAAGAATAACACAAACACCTGATTGAACTAAAAAAGCAATAAATATTAATTAATAAAATTTTATGAGTTATAATAAAATTAACAAATAATAATTAATCCACTACAGAAATTTTCATTCATAAGTAAAATAACATTAATTCAAAAATGCAATAAATAATAAATAGTGAAAATTTTAAATTAATGTTTTTTGAATAAATGACTAATTGGAATTTGGCTCATATTATTAAGTCATTTTACACATTAGTTGGATATTATAATTTTATATAAAAATAATGAAATTTAAATTTTTGGCCACATTTTGCATTTGGTATTTATTTGCTATAAAAAATTTTTTTAAAATTCCCTTAAATAATTTATATTAAAATTTTTTGAAATTCATTTGATATATTTATTATTTTAAGATAAAAAAAAAAATTCACAAAAGAAAAAATAAAAAAATACACCAAAATTGTAAAAATACTCTAATTATTAATTTATAATTCAAAATAAAATATAAATTATATTAAGATAATTTCAGGCGTTAAATTTATAATATATAATAAGTAAAAAATATATAATATATATATATATATATATATTGCCCCTTGTTAATAATATGAATTATAGATGAATAAAAAATTAATTGAATTTAGGGGGTTTAAATTTCCTTTATTAATAAAAACTTTTATTTTTCTCTGGCTTGGTTAGAAGTTCCAACTTTTTTTTTTTTCGGCATTAAGAAAAGGAAAATAGACAACATTTTTTTTTACAACAAAATAGAAAAAAAGCAGAAAGTGCAAAAAAAAAAAAAAAAGTGTGAAAGGAAACAGAATTCTAAAAAAACTAAAGACAAGAACACCGTCGAACGATCACAAACCCTAGATCACAGCCGCTGGAGTTGACCACATCATCGCCGAGCTCACGAGCAGAGGCCAAGTACAGTAATGGAGTATCAGTAATCAGCCAATCACACTCAAATCTTATGGATCTTGGCAGCCTTGACGACTGGGTTGGCTCGGGCGATGGCCTCACGGCCGGCGGCCTTATAGTCGAAGGAGCAGCCATGTTTCTCCGGGTAACGGTGAGGTCCACAGAACGTCATCCCGCAACGGCACCGGAAACCTGTCAACCCCACCCTCTTCCTGCACTCCGTACACCTGCCCGGCGTAGCGGATGAACGATCAGCTGCCGAGTCGCCAGAGGACTCGGGAAGAGAGGATAAGGGAGAGTCAGGAACGGCTGCGGTGGCGAGAGGGGAGGGGCTTAGGGAGGGGGAGATTAGGGATTTCTCAACGGCTATTTTGGCGGAGGCGGCTTGTTGCTCCTTGAGGCGAAGGTCACGATAGCACTTAGAGCATAGATCCATGGTTGCGGGTGAACCTAGGAACCCGCAGTTGTTGGTACAGAGGCGGTGTCCTTCCTGGCATCGCTGTTCCTCAGCCATCTTCTTCCTCTTGCTGGTTCTGGTAGCTTTTTTTTTTTTTTTGGGAAAACACTGGTAGCTTTTTTACTCCAGATTCCGAGATCTCCAATCACACGATCGATCTGCAATATATTTCGAGTTTTCTGTTACTGTCAAATAACTGCAGATCCAGCTAAATCCATCATCAAGACGATGAAAAAGAAAAAAACACGAGATCTGCAGTAGCTCAAAAGAAATAAAACACAAATCAGGCGATTCAAGCAAAGCATATCAGATCCCTTTAAGTAGAAGGTGTGAGAGAAGACGTGCGATGCAAGTGATCTTCTCACCTCTGCTTTAAGGTTAAAGATGCATCCAAATTTGGAATTCCTAACAGGTTTTTTTCTCAAAAAATTGAAACAATCAGCCGGCGTGGATTTCACGAAATAATCGAAAAGATCATCAAAATAAGCTACATAAAGCTCAAATCCCGTTTAATCAGAAACAAAGATAACCAATTCTCAAATCAACAACTCCAAAAATATTCAAGAGATCGACGAGGTACTTACCACTCAAACCGATCGTAAAATCTCAAGCAAAGCGATATCACTTTATAATTCTTCGATCAGAGGAAAGAACCGATGAGAAACTTCGAAGACAAGAAGGAGAAAAATCCACGACTCCGAAGAACCGTGACCAAGCCGTTCAATGAACCCAGCTTCGTTCTATCGCGGGTGCTCATTTTCTTCTCATCTCCGTTGTTAAATAGCAAGTGGCAAGCCCAATACCAAATTACGACAATGCCACTGGTGTTGCTGGGAAAGTGGGCGGAAATTCAATGGGCCGCGGACAGAGAGATAAAGGCGGCAAGTGAACGCGACGTTACGACGTAGCTGCTTTTGTACCGCATGATTAGCGTTCTATCGTGCGTTATCCGCCGTCAGTTTAATCCTTCATTAGAGATAAGATGCTGAAGGAGGGGTAAAATCGGAAATAAAAAAATGACAGATGTCAGCGTTCTGTACACTGACTGTGTGGTCAGCATTGGGCGGCGATTTTATTTCGACATGGTAGATACAGAGAAATGCTCCAAGTAATATAATACTTAATAGAAGTTTATAGACCATTAATACAAATTAATATAGTTTATTTTATATATAAACTTATATGAGCTGTCTTTTTTTTTTTACATAAAGAAATGAATTAGCAAGCAATCATCTAAATTTAATAATTTCAAAGGTGGGATTTACAAATATAATATAAATTTTTATGTATTTATATAATTTTAATTCATTTTTATATTTATTTATATATCCTTTTAATGTCTAAATTATATATATATCTTATTAATATTTTTTCCTTATTTTATCTGTCAGAAAGCCTCGGGGTCATCTTTGATGGTTGCACTCACCAAGAACGATCCGCCATAGCTACGATCCGATGAGGATAATCACTCTCTAGCCTGGAGGCCACGTATCATCAGCTATAGTTTGTCACTTGCCTCTTTAATTATTAAAGATGCAGCTGTACGATCCTATAGAACATATCATGTTCAACTAAGGCCGTTGGATTATTAATATGTGATATATTTTATTGTCTAATTTAGGGCAACAATTATGTCTATGTTTATTTGATGTGTGATTGATGTGCTATGTTATTAGCATGTATATTTATGTTTCATTTGTTCAGTATGTTGGATATTTGTTAATAATATTCTTCTCAATTAAATTCAAATATTATTTTTTTTATTCTAGTATATCACATTAACATGTATGAATTTTATTTATTTATTTTTATACTAAAAAAGTAATGAACTCTAAATATTAAATTAAAAAAAAAAAACTCTTACACAAATTTTAAAGTCTAACATTTAATTCCTTTTTTTGCTTCATATTATTTTTAGTCTTTACTTAGTTTATGTTGTTACCTATGCCTTATTGTAGAATATTTCAAAACTTATTTTCTTATCAACCTTCACATATTTATACCCAAAACTATGAAATTAATTTCATCATAGAAGGAATCTAAATTTCATAGTTCACATTTTTTATGTTGTTTGTAGGAATATCAACTTTATCATAGTTGACAAGAATAATAATGCTAGTGTGAATGATTGACTTCATGAATCTTGCTATTCATACCGCTTATAAATTTGATGATATTTTAATTTTTTGTATTTTCATCTAATCATTTTAAGTAATTTATTTAAGGTTAATATATTTATAGCAACAATAAATATAATGAGTTGATTAAGATATGGATATTTGATCATTTAGAGGACTAGATCCAAGGAGAATTCAAATAATCTCGAGTGAAGGAATCAATATTTAAGATAAATTCAGGAAGAGTAATGTGTGATGTCGGCTTGTACGTGTATGTATGAGGGCACGCTTATGTGCATACAAGTTCGTAAGTGTAACACCCCAAGTTCTAATTTTAAGAATTATTATCAATTTATCTCTAAATTAATCTATGAGAGCCTTTAATATTCATTTATTTAAATATAAGACAATAGAAGCAATACCTCAAAATATTTTACTATATTCACTATTCATCCAAATTTTCATTTACAATAGTTAGAAGTTCAATCAATACATTAGTCTTCCTTTTAATACTTTTGACTAAAAAAATAAAAGATAAATACCAAAACAAAACTAAACATCAAGATCCCGATCAACTTCACTTTATTGGGTCATGATCCCTTTCCTAATCTGAAATGAATAAAAATCACATAATAAGCAACAAAAGCCTAGTAGCTTATCAAAACCTACCACTGCATTTAATACAAATCATCTAAAATCAATATGCACGCTTCATTACAATCATTACAACCATAGAGGTCTATATGAATTTACATCAATCAATGAAAAGTATGAATTAGTGGGAACCAATATAATATTTAAAACATCAATGAATAAAAGTAAATCAAGAATCATTACATTAATAGAGTTCTATATAAAGCTTCAATAATAATTCGACTGCGTCCTAGAACATTTACGAAAGTAGAAAGATATAGAGTTTATCGTCCAAGCTATATATGAAGATCTAACACACATACATATAAGAGAGAGAGAGAGAGGGGCATAGAGAGAGAGAGAGCGGTTTACACATTTTTAGATGTAAATCTTGATACGGCGTCACAAAATTAGCTTGATCGGACACGAATCTCGAGGAGAGAGAGAGAGAGAGAGAGAGAGAGAGAGAGAGAGAGAGAGATGTAAGAGTAATAAGATACACCAAGATTTTTACGTGAAAAAGCTTGAAAAGGAGAAAAATCAAGGGGCCTCACCTAGTTAAAATGATTCAACTCGTGTTTATTGTTGATTACAAATAGTGCCTTTCCTTGGGGGGAAGGCCATGGATCGATGGATGAAATATACATAATATATAACACATTTTATGGTAGGAGTTAGAAGACTATGAGAGTTGTTCTCAAGAGAGTTTTAACCTGTTCTTTTGTTCGGTAAGACCGTTGTCAAGTGAAGGTGGTCAGAGGGATTGAAATTAGCAAGCGACGGAGGCAGAGGGACCTTACTCAGCAAACACATAAGTTAGAGGCTTAATAGCTCATATTTTGATAATGTCAAATAAAGTTTTTCATGAGTCATTATAATTCCAAATATAGGAAGCTTAAGAAATTTCATTCAAGTTTAAAAGTTGAGTTTTCTATTTTAAAAAGTAAGCATAACATTGTAGTTTCGGAACATGAAAATCATAAAGTTGAACATTCTACTTTATATAAGGAACATGCTTCTTTACTTGATAAATTTCACAAATTAAACAAGAAGTATATTGAATTAAATAAGTCAAATAAATCCTTGAAATATGAGCATCTTGAGTTAGAAAAAATATCTAAAGAACTAAAGATAGTGGGAATGGAACTGTACTCTAATGAGCATGCTTTATTATTTGAAATTGAGAGACATAGGAGTGCAAATGAACATTTGAAAAAGAAAGTGTATGCACTTTTAAATAATACACCACTGCTTGTGTTAGTACAAATGCCTCAACCTTCACTAGCACAACAAGCACCCATTAGGACACAATATGCATCATCTCATATTCCTAGGAAGAGGCGCAATACCCTACATAGATTAGTGAATATATTCCATTGGGTTAGGTGTTACTCATGTGGCATGGTAGGATATATAGTATGTATTTAAACAACACACTATAGAACACATCTTATATAAAGGCCCAAATCATTTACATCACAGAATAATATGTATTTAATTCTTTCATTAAAGTATAAGGTATAACCTAAACACACTTGGGTTCCCAAATTAAGCAATGATTGATCTTGTGGATATGCTCTCATAAAATTCATAGTGAGAGCATGCGTACCTGGATAGCGGGTATTCAAGACATGATGGGAGACATGAAGAAATTCATCATGCTGGAGGTCAAGGTAGGAGGCAAGGTAACACTGGGAGATAAAACCATTAGGAAAGTATTGAGATTGGAAATTCAAAAAGTTTTATTATTAAAAATATTCTTTTATTAGATGGATTAAAATACAACTTGCCTAGTATTAGTCAATTTTGTGATAAGGGTTTTGATATAAAATTTCTATCTACTAAATATATGATTAATTTAAATGGGAAATTAATTTTAAAAGAAAAAAGGGAAAATAATATATATATGTTTGATCTATCTTTTATTGATTATTTAAATATTATTTATTTTAAAACAATTGTTGATGAATTATGGTTATAACATAGATGACTATATAATGAAAGCATGAATACCCTTAGGAATATAACTCAGAAGGACCAAGTTAGACTTTTTCAAGGACCATCTATGTGATGAATATCAATTAGAAAATAAAATAAATTATTTTTTCAATCATTAAGGACATCAACACTATTAGACCACTAAACATCTTATGTATGAATTTATTTAGTCATGTCAGCACAACTAGCTTAGATGGGAAGACTTTTGGATATGTGATTGTTAATGATTATTCAATATTCATCTAGGTTAGATTCTTATCACATAAAAGTGATTCATTTAAGAAATTTAGAGTATTCTCCACTTGGATATAGAGGAAGCTAGGACTTATTATTTTCATAATCTATAGTGATCATGATGTAGAATTTGAAAATGAAAATTTTGAATCTTTATGTAAGGAGCTTGGAATAGAACTTAATTTTTCTACCCTAAGGACCCCTCAATAGAACAGAATAGTTGAAAAGAAAAATAGAATATTAGTGGAAGCTGCTAGGGTTATGTTAGCTAAATATTCTCTTTCTAGATATTTTTGGGCAGAAGTAGTAAACATTACTTATTATATTTTGAATATGGTGAATATTAGATTAAAATGAAATACCTTATGAGTTGCTTAACAGTAGGACACCCAATCTTTCATATTTTCATTTCTTTTGGTGTAAATGTTTTATCCTTATCAATGAAAAATCTTATATATAAAATCTTGATCCTAAGTTTGATGAATGCATTTTCTTAGGATATTCCTTTATAGGTAAAGCCTATAGAATTTTTAATAGGAGGACCTTAGTTATAGAAGAGTAAATCTGGTAAGCCTAGGTTAGAAGAAGATAAAAAGGTAGATATTACCCTAGGAGTAGACTCTATTGACCTAGGAGATAGAGAAGAATCTCATGAGCCATTGCCTAGACAATGGAGATACTCATATAGCCATCATAGGGGGCTCATCCTAAGAGATCCTTCTACAAGAGTTAGAACCAAGCATGGACTTAAAAAGGAGGTTAGCCATTCTTCTTTTATTTCTATGGTAGAATCCATAAATATAGATTCGGGCTTATCTGATGAATTATGGATCCTCACTGTAAGAATTAAATCAATTTATTAGAAATGATGTGTGGGAGTTGGTTAATAGGCCTAAGGACCAGAGTATAGTAGGTACCAATTGGATATTCAAGAATAAAATGAATAATTCTAAATCAATAATTAGGAATAAGGCTAGCTTAGATGCTAAGAGATATAATCAAATTGAAGATATTAATTTTGAGGAGACATTTGGCCTTGTAGTTAGACTAGAAGCCATTAGAGTTCTATTAGTTTTTACATACTTTAGAGGCTTTAAGATATATTAGATAGGTGTTAAAAGTATATTTCTAAATGGGGTTATTAATGAAGAAGTATATGTAGAGCAACCCCTGGATTTGAAAACTCCTCTTTTCCCAACCATGTATACAAACTAAAAAAAGCTTTATATGGGTTGAAGCAAGCACATAGGATATGGTATTAAAGGCTTAGTATGTTTTCTTAGATAGATTATTTATTAAGGGTAGTGTAGATACCAGCCTATTTCTTAAGAAAGTAAGAGATGATTTACTCATTATTTAAATATATGTGGATGATATATTATTTGGATCAATAAATGAAAACTTTTGTAATAAATTTTTTTAAAACTTTGAGTAGAGGGTTTGAAATGAGTATAATGTGAGAATTAACATATTTTTTTGGATCTAATGTGAAGCAAAGTGAAGATGGTACCTTTCTCAATCAAAGTAAGTATGTTAAGGAAATTTTAAAGAAATATGATATGAAAGGTATTAAAGTAATAAATACACCAATTAGATCAA